GGGGGGGGAATTCCATGCTGCTCCGCTGCCACTTCGGGTGGTGGAGAAACACCCCCGCAGCTCACAAGCTGCCACCAATGGAGGTGTTGAATCCTCCAATGGTCCCTAGTCCTCGCAGGCTCATGGCTCCCCACTCTTCCTGGGTGCTGGGGAATGCCCTGAGGTTCCCCACTGCCCATGGGCATTGTGGGATCAATCTCAGTTCCCCCGTCGCCATGCGTGCCTGGGACCACTGGAGTTCCCAATGGCCCGTGGATCCAAGGGGAATCCTGAGTAGCTCCCCTCTTCCCATGGCAGCTGGGGAGCATTTCCCACCCCGGACTTGGTGGCTGGGGAGGTGTGGGGTATTTCTTCCCCACCGGTGGGGACTGGGGAGCCACGGGGTATTCTGCCATGTTATCTGCGACTGCAGAGCCACGGAGGATAATGCAAGGCAACAGACACTAGGCAGCCGCGAGGGACACCACGCTCTTGTCTGTGGGGCCAGGAGAACTACAGGGGGATCTCCAATGCTCACAGAGACTGGATTCCGCCACACCCATGGGCAACAGGGAGCATCAAAAGATATCCTCCCTGCACCTTGTGAAGCTGGGGACAGATTCCCAAGGGGGATTCCCAACCCCATGACCTCTGGAGAGGTTTAAGGGGGATTTTCCCCCCATCTGCTGGGCCTGGGGAGCTGCAGGGAACTTCCCAAAACACAGGGGGAACTGGGGAGCCATTTCCTCCCTGCCCCCAGGGAAATTTCCGTATGCCCCCGGCCCCTAGGGAGCTACTCAGGATTTCCCCCCACATCCGAGGGTCCTTGGGAACTACAGTGGTTCCAGGCATGCACGGCGACTGGAGAACTGAGATGGATCCCACAATGCCCGTGGTTAGTGGGGAACCGAAGGGCATTCCCCAGCGCCCGGGAAGAGTGGGGAGCCGTGGGCCCGCAAGAACTGGGGACCATTGGCGGACTCCCCCACCTCCGTTGATGGTGGCTTGCAATCTGCGGGGGGTGTTTCATGACGGCTGAATGAAACTTTCCCCACAGGCAAGGCATTTATGAAGTTGTGACCAGGGTCACACTGAGATTGCGCAATTAGGGCAAACTGCGAAGAATGGAGCAGACAAGCCTCAAAACTGGTGGCTATTCCAATACTTAGATTCTTCAAGCCAGCAACAAAACAGCTTCTACAATACCTTACTGTTATACAGAAGCCAAAGCACAGCTCCCTTACAGCAACCCAACCTTGGGCTCCCTCCCAGGCAGCCCACTTCAACATGATGGGAATTGCTGAAAACCTTATTCACCATATTAAAAAGTTCCACCAATCCCAAAGGATCCTATACATTATCCACGAAGTTAAGGAATACTTCAGTTCTTACCCAAATACACGCTTACAACCAATTCTTATTAACTCAACTAAGATTTATTAAAAGAAGAAAATAGAGAGTGTGTGTTGGTTAAACGATCATTATACATACAGACATGCATAGAGTCATTAGGTTAGTTTCACTGTAGAGATGGTGCTTTAGAATTGCAAAGAGTCCTTTTCTTAATCATTTAAACAAGTTTTAGTCCAATGTCCAATTTCAATGTCACTGCGGTCCAGATAGGACTGCAGATCCCCATCTTCCGAATCACACTCCCCCCGTATAAAGGTTAGGCAGATCAGAAAAGAAAATCATTTTTGCAGTATCTCGACAGCACACAGTCCTTGGCTGAACAATAGGCTTTTGAAGTAACCTTCTATTTCCTAAACATCACTGGTAAGTAATTACATGGATTAGCATGAGGTGATTCTCCATAAAGCAGTTCATAGACAGTTTACCACAAACTTTCAGGAGACAATGACATTATTACAACCAAGTTTTGTCTAAATGTTAATATTCCCTTTTGATCTCTGAATTCACAGAATACAGCTCTAGAAAAGAACTGTTTACTTCCATTGTTAACCTCTAACAAGATACAGCCAAACAAAGACCACTACAGTTACCATCTTCTTCCATGTCTTTAACAATACACGTTTACCTCTCGAAGCTCTAGTTTACCTAACTAGGACACACTTTTCTAACGTGTCTCTAAAGGTTGAATCTAGGTCAATTAAATGCAATTTCCTTAACACCTTCTGTCTCTGTGTCAGAGATGTTTAGCTCCAGTGTCTATTCTCTCGTGTTTAATGAGGTGGGATCTCTGTGTGAAATTTCCCCAGGGTCCAAGCACTTGTGGGATCTCTCTCCTGTGTGGATTGACTGATGTCTAACAAGGTGTGACCTACACATTAAACCTTTTCCACAGTCTAAGCACTTGTAAGGTCTCTCTCCTGTGTGGATTCTCTGATGTATAACAAGGACTGACCTCCATGTGAAACTTTTCCCACAGTCTAAACACTTATGGGGTCTCTCTCCTGTGTGGATTGACTGATGTCGAACAAGGTCTGACCTACATGTGAAACTTTTCCCACAGTCCACGCACTTGTAAGGTCTCTCTCCTGTGTGGATTCGCTGATGTATAACAAGGACTGACCTCTGTGTGAAACTTTTCCCACAGTTTAAACACTTATGGGGTCTCTCTCCTGTGTGGATTGCCTGATGTCTAACAAGGTCTGACCTCCATGTGAAACTTATCCCACAGTACACGCACTTGTGGGGTCTCTCCCCTGTGTGGCTGAGCTGATGTCTAATTAGTTCTGACTTCCAAATGAAACATTTCCCACACTCGAGACATTGAGAAGGTTTCTCTCTTCTGTGGCTTCTCCCATGATTACTCAGGGCTGAGCGATTATTGAAGATTTCCCCACAGTCCAAGCATTGAAGGGGTTTCTCTCCGGTATGGATTGTCTGATGTGTAACAAGCTGTGATCTCAGAATGAATCCTTCCCCATACATGAGGTATTCATAGCGTTTGTCTTCCTTGAAATTTGTCTGCTGGGTTGTGGGATCCTGGTCTCCTCCCCCACATTTAATAGATTCATCCACCTTCTTCCTTGGGTGGTTTTCCCGCTGCCTCTCTGACCTGTCCCAATTTCCCCAGGCTTCTTCCTGTTCGAAGCACTGGGAAAAATTCCCTTCAGCTCTTCCCACAAATGTCCTTTGTGGTTCCACTTTCCCAGGGACTTCCTCATGATGATCCCCTTCCTCCTTCTCACTCCCTCGCTCAGCACCTGCTGGGAGAGACACAATCCAGACAGGAGTCATTGTGCTGTGGAGAAAGAGGAATAGCACCAAGGGAAAACCCAGCTCACTAAATTTGGGAAGAATCAGTAATGGATTCTGATTCCACATCCCCCACAAACACTCAGAGGGAAGGAGAAACAGGAAGGAAACTCCTGCAGCTAACAGGACAGGTGGAAAGCCGTGAGCAATATCTGCTGACTATAGCACTGCCCTGGGTAAGAGGAGGAAGAACCGAGGGCATTACTCACACCACATTTTTAGGATTCTCAACTTTTTCTTCATTCCCCAGATGATTTCTGTGTCAGTCCTTACCTGTGTGGTCGCCTCTCAGGCTCTCTCTTTCCTCACAGGCCTGGAGATCTGGGACCCACGGCTCTTCCCCTCGTTCCAGGCGGGAGATCAGCTCAGGTTTGGGAATGGGGAATCCTGCGCAGGGGGTGGAAGTCAAACCAGATCAGGGTGCATGGAGGATTGAGAGTGCATCTGTCACAAAGGACATTGTGTGAGCGGAACATGTCCCTGTGCTCTGCTGGGGAACATGGAACCCAGGAAGACAGGAACATGGTCGCTGAGCCCTCTTGGGAGAGGCAGCCCTCTGGGGAGGTGAGGGGAATTTTTACACTCTCATTAGGTGTTCCCAGGATCTGCGCAGCCTAGGGGCATTGCTGACTCACACACAGCTCTCGCGTGAAACCTCTGCCTATTTCTAAGCCTTCCCAATGGCTGGAGCTATTCTCAAGAAGGGAGATAAATAAGGATTTGGTGTGTATGGGAGTCAATACAGAGAGGACAACGAATGAATTCTGTCCCTTTTAAAGCCAGAGGGGTGGGGATGAGCTAACATGTCCATTAAGTTTTGACACCGTGTCTCACTGGAGAGGGCACGGAGATGGAAGTCTCTCTCACAAGGCAACTGTTCATTATGCAAAACATTCCCCTCAGATCTAACTGATCAGGGAAGAACCTGCCCAGATTCATACATACAAACTCAACGGCTTCTAATAACCGAGGGGACGGGAATCCCTTACCCAGCGAGGTCACAATCTCGTAGTTCTGCTGCATGACGTCCCTGTAGAGGGCTCTCTGAGCGGGGTCCAGCAGAGCCCCCTGCCCCTGGGTGAAATACACAGCCACCTCCTCGAAGGTCACCGGCATCTGAAACACCAAAAATCCCTCACTCAGCACCTGCTGCCCCAGCCACAATCTCACTTGTCACGCGGGAGGAAGAATAAAGAAATGGAAGCTCTGGGAGGGCCAGAATGGCAGAATCCCACCCCCACCCTGCTCATAGCAGCCAGGAGGCTTCAGGGGGTGGGAGAAGGTGAAAGCTCCCTGTCCCCCCCAGCACACGGAGCAGGGCAGTGTCTTCTCATTTCCCACACACCTGACAGGAATCCCAAGAGCTTCCCTTCGTATTTCTAAGTAGCCTCTGGCTAGTGGGTTCAGGCTCCATCCCTGTGCAGGGTGGTTGCGTCCTCTTTTTGAAATGGGTGAATGTCCCTCCCTCCCCATCACCAATGGTCCTACTCTGAAAATGAATAGGTTTCTCACACCCTGTCTCCTCCCTCCCTCTCCCTCCCCCTACCAAGCAGCTCCCTGAAAATCTCGTACCTGAGCTGGCTCCATCACAGCCTGGAAGATGAGCCAATCTGGAGCGAAATGTGGACGTGATTCCTCAGCCTGTCGGGACGATGGGGGAGGTTACAGAAGGGACTTCGGTCCATGTCACACCCCGGTTCCCTCCAAGCTCTTCAGACCCTCCCAGTAACAGCATCTCTGAGCCAAATGCTAGAAAAAGAGCAGAATCAAGGGGGCCATTTTGAGGGATTGCCCCAAATTGCAGTGTAAACCCCTCTCCCTTAGCAACAGCCGGAGCCCTCTAGTGGCCACACCTGAAGAACGAGCTGCTCTGGATTCTTCCGGCAGCCCCCAGGGACAGATAGGCAGACTGATCCTATTGGTCCATCTGCACTCACCCCCTGCCAGAGCCAGCAGTGACTCTGGTCTGACTCTAGTGTGGCTGAAGTCTAAAGCCTGCCTGGAAATCAGACCAAGACCTAGGACACCCTGAACATTCAGGAATCAGAGCCCCAAAAATCATGAGTTTGTCTCTTTTTTAAAAAATCCAATGTAACCTGGGAGCAGTGTGTTTGTGGGAAGGGAGGGGGGTGCCTGTGGATAGTTCCCTTGTAACTAGGCACTGCCACGGAAATATAACGTAGACAGACAGCATTGTCTGTTACCTCTGTCATACATCAGAATGCAGGGGCGGCCCTAGACTAGGTCCCCGAGGCAAACCATGCAATCGGCGCCCCCCAACCCCAAACCCCAAGGGCAGATGTAGGCTGAGGATTTCCGTAAACTGGGAAACATTTTGCCCCTTTTCCCTTTTATCATTTTTTAAGCATTTTCTTTTAAACAGAGGCGTAATCATTCGGTTTGTCCATCCACACTACTGTCCAACTAATGTTTCTGAGATCAGATAAAATAGACACACGAAATTTTCAGAATAGATTTGTACACAAGAGCTAGATGATATTTCAGTCCAATTACAAATATAAATGTCTTTAAAATGTTAATTATAATTTTTATTATTACAAATCCAAAATCATCCATTACGCTAAACAGCTTTAACTGGCTTTACCACCACATCTAATATTGAAAGAAATAAGAAACCTCTTCAATGAACTTTAACCTGTATTTACAAAACACACTGAATTAAAAACACTCTGTGCTCTTAAAACATGACTTTTCTTGCTCTAAGTTTTGAAAATTCAGACACTAGTTCTTCTAGCCTTGCTCTACGGGAAGGGGGAGGGGGAGGTCTCGAAGTAAGGTACGCAACTTCAGCTACGTGAATACCTCCATCGACTTACCGCAGCGTCTTCATGGCATGGGGTCGACTGCCGCTGCTCCCCCATCAACTCCGCTTCCACCTCTCGTGGAAGTGGAGTACCAGAGTCAATGGCAGAGCAATTGGGGATTGATTTATCTCATCTAGACTAGACGCAATAAATTGACCCCCAATAGATTGATCACTACCTGCCGATCCAGTGGGTAGTGTAGACATACCCTTAGATCCAGTTTTCCAC